GATTTCTGTTTATTCTACAAGAATGAAAAGTAAACAATGTAGTTGTACATGATGATAGGGTCATGAAGGTTGATGGTTTCCTGTAATGTATTGGGCAGAGATAGAACAGAGTATCAGATAGAATTCTGACAACAGTTGTTTGAATAAATATGAAATTAACCTGCTTACCCAAGCCCTTCTGTGGCCTGTGTAGGAGATTAACCACAACAGGAACCTTTTACAATATCAGGCACTGCTGTTGCTCATTCCCAACTACCTTGAGTTACTCCTTTTGCATACTACTTTATTAATCATGACATTTAATGTCCCACACTCCTAGACCATGAGACCAGAAGAAGTAAGAATAGGTGTAGGCTGTTCAGTTCCTTGAGCCTGCTCCATCATTCAATAGGATCATGGCTGATCCAAATTACCTCACGTCCAGGCTCCTGTCTTTTCCCCATAAACCTTGACTCCCCTCCTGATCAAGAATCTATGTATCTCAGCCTTAAATGTACACAAGGACTCTACCGTCACAGCTCTCTGTGGCAAGGAGATCCAAAGACTCACAAACATCCTTGCCTTAGTCTTAAATTGGCACCCCTTTATTCTGAAATTATGCCCTCTGATCCCAGACTCTCCTGAGAGGGGAAACATTCTCCCAGCATTTACTCTGTCAAGTCCTTTTAGATCCTATATGTTTCAATGAAATCACCTTTCATTCTTTCAAACTCCAGTATGTAGAGTCCCAATATGTTTTGCCTTTTCCCATAAGAGAATCCCTCCACACCAAGAGTGTTCTTAGTGAAACTTCTCTGAACTGCCTCCAATGAAACAACATCTTTCCTTAAATAAGGGGACAAAAACTGATCACAATGCTCCAGAGATAGTAGGAACTGCAGATGCTGGAGAATCTGAGATAACAAGGTGTAGAGCTGGATGAACACAGCAGGCCAAGCAGCATCAGAGGAGCAGGAAAGCTGACATTTTGGGCCTAGACCCTTCTTCAGAAACTTTTCTAGGCCTGAAACGTCAGCTTTCCTGCTCAACAGTGCTCCAGATATGATCGCACTAGCACCTTGCATAGCTACAGTAAGACCTCCTTAGTCTTATACTCTAACCCCCTCGAAATAAGGACCAACATTCCATTAGCCTTCCTGATTACTTGCTGCACCTGTGTGCTAGCTTTCTGTGTTTCATGCACAAGTCCCTTTGTGTTGTAGCTTTCTGCAATTTTTCTCCATTTAAATAAGCTCTTGTTCTCCCTTCAAATGAACAACTTTTCATTTTACATTATATGCCAGTTGTCAACTTTTTGCCCCTTATTTAACTTACCAATATCTCTCAGTAAACTGTTTGCAACTAGCCATCCCACCTGTATTCCTGATCACGAACATTATTGCTCATTTTCTTATGGAGCAGGCCTCGCCTTGTGTTTCCAGTGAACTGGTTCCTCCACAATCATGGTTCCCCAATACACCAATAGTACTGCAGTTTTCCATGGTTCTGTAAAGAGAGAACATACTGGAGGCCAGTCATCACTAGTTATGCCTTATAATTTACTACATTAACAAAGTACTTTCCTCTGCAGCCTGAGCTCTCATCCAGATAAGCTGACAAAACCTCACACCTGGACAATTACAAATGTTGAGCCTCCTCTGCTCCCGCTCTCTGGGTCCCCTTATTCATTGGTCAATAAATGAATAGTTCTATACACAATTATAATCTTTACAGTTGTGCTTGCTACTCAGGCAATTTGTCATATGACCATATACATTATGAGACAATTGATGTCACATTAGGGAGCTAGGTCAATCCCCAGTTGGGATAAATGCTTTTCATTGTAAGGCTGATCAAGCTCCCACTGACCCCCCAAGGCTAGTGATCCTCTCCTTTAAAAATGCAACCAAATTTTCATTTACAGGAATTAGCTCCCTGTAATATTAAATGAGTTTCTGTTTTACATACGTTACCGTGGCTATGTCTCTTTGCGTCAATAAACAGCTCCTGTTTGTCCCGGTCTAAACAATTATGAATTAAGCTAACATTAAATATGTTTTGTTTTAACCCTTAAAATGCCTCAGCCAAGTGTTACCCCTACATCAATCTCCCAGGCTGCTGTAACCCATATGCCCTTGTAGACATCCATTTTGTGTCTAATTAATTTCTGTGCATATGCACACTGAAAATTGTTTCCTTAATTGTGTTGTTACTCCGAAATTTGTGCTCATCTTTTCTTAGTGTTCATGCTTGTAAGCCAGCTCTGATCATGCTTGCAGCCCTCCCATTTGGAAGGGGAAGGGCAGCAGATACATGGAAACACCACTCTCTGCCAGATACCTTCCGAGGCACTCACCATTCCTGACTTGGAAATATATCACTGTTCCTTCACTGTTATTGGATCAAAATCCGGAACTTCATTATTAATAGCACTGCACGCATCCAAAGACTATACTCCAAGGACTGCAGCAGTTCAAGGAGGCAGCCAGCATCACCTTCTCCAGGGCAATTAGGGATGGGCAATAATTATGAGCCCAGCCAGCTTTGTCAACTTCTCACGAATGACTAAAGAAAATAATACAGGCAGTTCTTTCAGCATTATGATTAATGCATAGTATTGCAATTTCATAGATGGGAATCCATGATTATGCTCTATTTTAAAAAGGATCTTGCAAGCAAATTGTTTCAGAGGCAAACATGCTGGAAAAGTCCACAATGTCTGAGGGAATCAAGAGTTTTGAGCTCGCTGTCACTTTTTTATTGGCTCATTGCCAGTGGTTCAGATAGTTCAGAGCTACCCCAATAGAAAGAAAGACTTAAAAAAAGACATTCACAAGTAGGAAGGAAAAGTGCAAACTGGTGACAACCATACACAGAGAAAGAAGAACTTACAGAAGAGAAAGACAACAGAGTACATAACAGGCCTGCAGAGGGGACAGCCTTAGAGACAGACACAAACCAATAACAAGAACAATAGTCTGAGTGCGAAAAAAATGGGCACTGTGTGATGAACTCTGCTGTTTGTGGTGTTTTCTGATGCACTGCATCCAGGCAGTTGGAGTGATGTAGACGCATGGCTATATCTCCGATGTTGCTTGTGGCACTGAACCTTTAGGAGCAATGGAATAGTTCGACTGGGGTCCTCAGGATATTTTTCATTCCCATGTTCATTGTGGTCAGGCCTCTGGATGACAGCATGCATGTTCATCAGCCTCTCGCATGTAACCCCATCATGCACAGTTGTTTGCTGTTGTTCAGGGGACAACAATAAAAAGGGTGCAGAAGGATGTGGTCATGGAAGCTCAACATCATGTGGCCCACAAATGCAAAATAGAAACAGACCCACATACTTGAGTTCAGAAGAGAGTGTGACATAATGGCAAAAAGAAGCATGTTAAGGTTGGATCTAGCATATAACGCCAGCCAACTACCAGCATGTTACAGTTGTTTCTATCACATTAAAAAAAAAGATGGAGCTGAACTGGACGTGTGTTGACACTGAGGCTTGGACAAGGAAGTTTGTGAGAGATCCACACCATCTGGACTGTCATGAATAGGGATAAGAAGATTTTGCAGAAGTGCTCTAATTCGGTGAAGTCCCTGTCCGAGGAATTCAGGTCCATTGGGGTGCTGCTGTCAGCAAGGATCAGAAGTTAAATTCTTACAGAAAAAGAGCTAGAATTCTGCTTGAGGAAATTCAGATTATTTATATTTAACTTTTACTGACATTCATCTTTAATTTATAATTACTTTAGTTTGCTTGTTAAAGTAAAATTTATAAGATGTGAAACCATGGTTTTCATGTTGAGGGTTGTTCAGCATATTCAGTCCTTTTGGATTTTTGGTCCCCGTAGCGGAAGGGGAAGTGGAAGCAGTGAAATCAAGGAGAAAAAGAAATGGTCAGATTTTCAAAGGGCCATGGAGTAGGAACCTGATGCAGATTAGAATTCAGAATCAGTGCGGGACATTGCCTTGGGGACATGTTTTGAATTTGTAATGGGCCAACATTGAGAGGGAGTGGGAAATGCAGGAAGTTGATTAAAGAATTTACTAATTTGCACACAACTTTCAACAGGTGAACCCCAATATTCTTGTGCATGTTTGTGCATGGCTGTTGGATTCACCATCGGACCCAATTATGTCTCTTTGCAGCTCGTATCTATTTATACATCCCTGACCAAACAAGGGTGTGTGGGTCAACAAAAACATTGCTCCTCACCTTGACATCCATGGCTGCTCTCCACCATATTCAGCTTCTTGGCTACCTGATGAGCTGCCTGCTCGAACTGACAAGGTAGTGGCAACATTCATCATGGTTGCTGCCTGCTCTTGTGCTGGCACCAGGCAGCCAGCTCCTAGAAGCACTAGTATCAATAACTGGGTGCCAAACTCCCCTCCTGGCTAAATAGGTTATTACAAAAACATTGAGCTAAGGCGGGACCCAGAATTCATTCAGGTATCAGATTCCTGACCCTCCTTGTAAATCCAGCCCAAGAATTACAGCATGGGAGCGAAGGACAGGAACAATTTCATGAAGCAGGAGAGAATGTACTTATCAAAATTTTAGTTTGATTTTTGTCAGTAGGGAATGCTACAGGATTTCAATTAGTTAACATCAAATACATAGTCTGGTGATGTAATTTTGACCAGAGCACATGATTGAAGGCTTTTATTTTCTAAACGAACAGTAAATTGGATTATAATCTTTTGACATTTAGTGCATGCACTTATACATATTTTCATATACTTTTTGAATACTTTAATACACAAGTTTCTTAACAGTTCACATCAAATTTTTGTGACCTCATATTTAATATTGTTCTTTAATTACTACATTCTTTTATTTCAATTTAATTACACACTGAAAAACAGAAGACATGATCGTTATCAATGATATATATGGAACAAACTGCTAGATATCTGTATCATCTTCTCAAAACTTGTGTTAAACTTGAAAACATAATTATAAATACAAAGCGTACAATTACATTTCTAATAATGGTTAAAGCCTTGCTGTCACAGTTACAGAAATACACACATTAATAAAGCTCCTTCTAAACCAACAGCTGTAGTTTGCAGTTAGAAGAGATTGAAGCGTATGAGCAGGTACAATATGAGCTATATAATTGTTTGCCGATGTTTTTACATATACACTGCTGATGCTACTTATCTCAATTAAACTAATTGTTGACGTTTATTGAGTAGAGATTAGACTTTTGCAACTAATGGTGCAGGAGAGCTGCACTTTCAGGGCTTTGATTATTATTCTTCTGACAATGGATTTTGATCTTTGAGAAGCTCTCGCTATTGTATCAGTGCAATCTTTTTAGCTGCCTCTGAGGTGCGATCTGAACCTCGGAATTACATTGCAGACCCACATTCCCTTGAAATTGTTGTCCTTGCTAACTCTCTGAAAGTGTGAAATCTCATTCTTTTTTAGTTGGATTCACACTGAAAGGGCAGTCACTAAAGTGTTCTGTGACAGTGCACTATCCAGTTTCATTGATGTAAGATACCTTATACATCCAGTAGATATTACACTGCATACTGAAAGTAAAAAAAAGATGAAATTACAAGTTGTATTAAGTTAAATACGTCAGCACAATATATGTATAACATACGTATTTTTTTATTGAAGATGGTGATTTGGATATTGAAATTGACAATACTGTACTCACCCACACAGTAACACTTCAAAAACACAAACATATTGCTTATAAAAGAGTTTTTTCATTCACTAACTCAGCTTCAGTGTGCTTTCTATGTTAATAATTTCACGTTTAGTCACTTTCATTGGAATCTTTGTGCAACTGGCCAGCCTCCTTCGGAAATTGCCACTGATCAGTATGTAGAGAAAGGGGTTAATGCTGCTGCTGGTGTAACTAAGGCAGATGGCGGTGTAATAAACAATGTAATAAGCAGAAGTTGGCTGAGTAATTTTGAGATTTATTAGTTGAATCACATGGTATGGTGCTGAACACACCACAAAAATACCCACTAACACCAGGACCATCTTCGTTAGTCGTTTGAGCTGTGCTCTGGGGATAGTTGCATTATATCTAAACATAAGAAGAAAACATTGTTTATTTAAATGAGGCTTATTTCACTTCACCCATTTAAGTCTGAACAACTTTGTTCTGCTTTAATATTATTGTTTTCTAGCACATTCTAATACAGGACATTCTTCACTTTTCAACCAGTTCTGTTACAGGATATGAGGCCTCTTTAAAGAAATGCTTGACGACACAGAATCCAAACAGAAATCTGGCACAAACATTCAAATATGTAACATGCAAAATCCTGCTGTTTGAAGAGGTTTTGATGGTTCAAAATGGAGAGCCCAGCAGATATCAATTTAAAATCAATAGCAAAAGATATAGTGGGGATATTAGGAAGAACGTTTTTTGTGCAGTGTTCTGATTGTAAAGTTTTATAAGCTTTATACGTTTTAAACTGTCTCTTTTAATTTTCTGAGAAAACAGGAGCAGAAATAGACCATTCAGCCCTTCAAATCTGCTCCACCATTCATTACAATCATTACTGATCATCCAACTCAATAACTTGTTTCCTTTCATCACTCAAATCCTTTGAAACCTTTAGCTTCAATCCCATTTGTGCAATATCCAACTCCTTCTTGAAATCATATGATGTTTTGGCCTCAAATGCTTTCTGTGGCAATGAATTCCACAGGCTCATCACTCACTGGGCGAAGAAATTTCTCCTTCAGTCCTGAATGGTTTAATGCGTATCTTTGGATTGTGATCCCTGGTTCTCAACTCCCCCATCATCGGGAACATCATTCCTGCATCTATCCTGTCTATTCCTGTTAGAATTTTATAGATTTCTATGAGATCCCCCCTCATTCTTCTGAACTCCAGTGGATATAATTCTGAGAGATCCTAATTGAGAGGCTGCTGTGTGCTCTGTTTTACAGAGACATGGCTCACTCCGGCTTCAGCTGACTGTGCCTTACAACCTGAGGGTTTCTCAATCCACCCACTGGACTGCACAATGTCCTCAGGCAGGGCAAAGGCAGAGGGGTCTGTCTCCTGATCAACACCTCTTGGTGCTCGGACGTGACGACTGTATTGAGTTACTGTTCCCCGGACTTTGAATATCTAATGGTGAAGTGCCCATCCCTACTACCTGCCACGGGATGTTTACTCTTGCTATCCTAACAGCAGTTTACATCCCACCCCACGCAGATGTGAAAAGCGCACTTGATGAAATACACACTGCTACAGGTAGCCTTGAGACAGCGTACCCTGAAATCTCGTTCATCATAACCAGTGACTTCATCCAGGCTGACCCCAAAAGTGTGCTACCAACATACCACCAACATGTCTCCTGTCCTACCTGAGGCCCAAACACCCTGGACCATTGCTACACAACTCAAAGGGGCCTACCGCTCCATTCCCTGCCCACATTTTGGTAAATCCGAACATAAGGCTGTGCTCCTTCTCCTAGCTTACAAGCAGAAACTGAAATCAGTACAGAAAGTCGTACAAATGCTGTTCTGAGGGAACGGATGGGCTCCTACGTGACTGCTTGGAGTCAGTGGATTGGTTCATATTCAAGAACTCAGCGGCCAACATAAATGTGTATGCCATTAGCATCACAGACTTCATCAGTAAGTGTTTAGAGGACTGCGTGCCAAAGAAGATAATCTGAGTGTTCCCCAACTGGAAACGAAAGATGAACCAGGAGATCCACTCCCTACTGAAGTCCAGGTCTGATGCTTTCAAGTCAGGTGACCCTGACCTATACAGGAAATCTAGGTACGATCTTCGCAAAGCCATCAGGGATGCCAAAAGACAATACCAGACCAAACTAGAGTCTAAGGCTAAACACATGTTGACTGTGGCAAGGCTTACACGATACAACAGGCTACAAGGCGAAGTCGAGTAGATTCGGTGACAACAATGTATCCCTCCCCGATGAGCTCAATGCATTCCATGTTCATTTTGAACAGAAGGTCAGTAAAATGATGTTACCTGCTCCGACACCTCGGGTGCACCTGTACCCACAGTCATTGCTGCAAGACATGAGATCGGCCTTCTTGAGGGTGAACCCACAGAAAGTGACTGATCTAGATGGAGACCCTGGCCGTGCACTCAGATCCTGCATAGACCTGCTGGCAGGAGTATTTGCAGATATCTTTAAACTCTCCATACTACGATGTGAGAAGCCCACTATCATCCTGGTGCCAAATAAAATCAGGCAACATGTCACCTGGTGGTTCTGACATCCATCGTTGTGAATTGCTTCGAGAGGTTAATAATGGCACACGTCAACTCCAGCCTCCCAGATTGCCTTGATCTACTACAATTCACCTGCCATCTCATGGATCCACAGCAGACACCATCTCCCTGGCCCTACTCTCATTCCTGGAACATCTGGATAACAAGGATACCTAAGTCAGATTCTTATTTATTGACTTTAGCTCCACCTTCAACACCATAATTCCAACAAAACTCATCTCCAAACTCCAAGACCTAGGGCTCTGCTCTGCCTTCTGTAACTAGATCCTTGACGTCCTGACCCACAGATCGCAATCAGTAAGGATTGGCGATAATACCTCCTCCATAATAATCCTCAACGTTGGTGCCCCACAAGGCTGCATACTCAGCCCCTTAATATTCAGCTGATACTTTCACGGCTATGTGGCCAAATTCAACTCTGACTCCATTTACAAATTTGCATGTTTGAACGTTTGCCTTTGTCTTTCCGCTGTTATCATTTTAATAACAACCTATCATAGCCAACTTACACCTCATACCATCTTAAATTCCTCTATAAGATTCAGGACCCAAGTCTCAGAATCAACTACATTACTCTGCAGCTTGATAAGGAATTCTATTATATTATGGTCAAGAAGCCTCACACAACAATAATGCCAATTATTCCTTTTTCATTACTGAAGGCCTAGTCTGGGATGGCATGTTCACTAGTTGGTTGTTCAATGTATTAGTCCAGAAAACCATTTGGTACACAGTTCCACATATTCCTCCACTATGGTATTGTTAGTAATTTGATTTGCCCAATCTGTATGCGGATTAAAGTCATCCATAATTACAGATGTTCCTTTATTGCATGCATCTCTAATTTCATGTTTAATGCTATTTCCAAAATCACCACTATAGTTTAGGAGTCTGTATATAATCCCCAATCTAATGTATTTTACCCTTTGGTGTTCCTCAGCTCTACCCATACAGATTCCACGTCATTAGCTCTAATATTCTTCCTCACTATTGAATTAATTTCCTCTTTAACCAGCAATGCAACTCTACCACTTCTCCCTTTTTGTCTGTCCTTAACTATTAAATACCCCTGGATATTCAGTTCCCATCCCTGGTCACCCTGAAGCCTTGTCTCTGTAATCCTGACTACATCATACATTTATTCATCTATTTGCATAATTAATTTTTGCAATTTATTGCAAATGCTATGTGCATTAAGGCATAAAGCCTTAAGGTTTGTCTTTTTAGCATTACTTATTCCATTCCCGCTCTTTTTCACTGAGTCCCTGTTTCATCTTGACCCTTAATTTCTCTGCTTTTCACTTTTCTTATTCCCTATTTTGCTTTATTCTTGTCCTTGATTCCCCTTTCTCTGACTCTTTGCATAGGTTTCCATCCCCTGGCATTTTAATTTAATCTCTCCCAAATCACTCCAATAAATACTTCAATAAATACTCCAATAAATACTCCCTCTAGGACATCTGTCTGGTCCTGTCATGGTGCAAACTATCCAGTCTGTATTTGCCCCAGAACTGGTCCCAGTGCTCCAAGAATCTGAAATGCTCCCCTTACATCATCTGTTCAGCCACGTTTAAATGATATATCCTATTATTTCTTTTCTGACTAGCGTGTGGCACTGGTAGTAATCCTGAGATCACTACTTTTAAGATCCTACTTTTTATCGTGCTTCTGAACTCTGCTTTTAGGACCTCATCCCTATTTTCACTTATGTCATTTGTACCAATGCATATCACGACCACTGGACGTTCACCCTCCCTCTCTAGAACACCCTGTAGAAGTTCCAAGATATTCTTAATGCTAGTACTGGAGGTGGGGGGCAACATACTATCTTAGAGTCAAGTTTGTGGCCATAGAAATGCCTGTCTAATCCAAAATAAAATGAAGCAGATAAAATTAGTGACTTCTTACTAATTCAGCCTACTGATGTATCAATGGGTCTTGCTTGCTATAGAGACTCTGTATCCAGTTCAAATCTTATTGAAGCATAAATTCCAGCTATCAAGTATCAACAGAAAGCAATGAGCAGCTGTTCTCAAGTAAAACCAAAATACTGTGGATGCTGGAAATTTGAAACAAACAGTGCTGGAGATTCCAGTTCTGAAGAAAAGTTATGCCACCACAAAACATTAACTCTGCTTCTCTCTTCACAGATGCTGCCAGACCTGCTCAGTTTCTCCAGCATTTTCTGTTTTTGCTTGAGCAGCTATTCTTACTGTTTGTAAACTTACTGACTTAGAAACTCTGGGCACAAAGAAAGAGAGTGCCAGAGAGTGGGAGGGGGAAGCAATAGCTGCAGTGAGTAACAAGGGGAAAAAAATCTTTCCTGTGTTATCCAAAGGCAGAAAACAGGTGGGAACATGTTCTCTGCTTGCAGAGGTGGGACCTACAGAACTTTAGGTGCACTGGAATATTCATTCCGTTATGGCTGAGAGAGAAAGTGGACTTTTCTGCGGGAAGTTGATTTTAGGATTTTCAGAAGGCTGGGAGAATCAGCTCCAATGGATCCTGGATGTTATGACTCAGTTAGAAATCACATGACACCAGGTTATAGTCCAACAGATTTATTTGAAAACACAGAGTCTTACTCCTTCTTCAGATGTTAGTGAGAGAAGTAGTTTAAGACACAGAATTTAAAGTAGAAGATCAAAAGGTCACACCACTGATGAGGATGTCGTAAACAAACCTAAGATGCTGTTAAATCTTTAATCAGTTAGATGGTTTTAATTGATTAACATGTATATGTAAATCCCCAAATTCCTCTGAAGTCACTGTTCTGAGAAAACTAAAGGTTTTATCAGTGTAAAGAAGAGCTGACATTTTAGGTGAGACAATGCATGTTAGGTGTGAGGCCTTGTTTAGAATCTGTTTGTGTTCTGGTTTGGAATCAGACCGGTTTTACTTCTAAAGTAGGAACTTATAAAATGTCACATTGACTGTCCATAAATTGTGCGCCTTTTGAACAAAATAGAATGTTTCTGCAAATACAAATTCACCCCATAGATTTACGTGTGCGTGCGTGTGTGTGTGTGAGAGAGAGAGAGAGAGAGAGAGTGTGTGTGTGTGTGTTTATGACTGTGTGAGAGAGAGTGTGTGTGTGTGTGTGTGTGGCTGTGTGAGAGACAGTGTGTGTATGCAAGAAGATCTGTGTGAGTGTGTGTGTGTTTGTGTAAGTGAGTGTGTGTTTGCCAATACACCATGCCTCGGGGCGTCCCTGCCTGCAGGGTATGAGAAAGACAACATTGGCCAAGTCACATGAATATCTGCTGTGTAGGTGGTGGGTGGTGTTCATGTCAATGATCTAACATGTCTTGCAGAAGTTGCCATGGTAGGGTTGTGTGGTGTTGTGTTCGATGTTATCCTGAAGGCTGGGTAGTTTGCTGTGAACAATGGTCTGTTTAAGGTTTGGCCGTTGAAGACAAAAAGTAGAGGCATGGGGAAGATCTTGGCAAGGTGCTCATCATCACCGATAATGTGTTGAAGGCTGCAAAGAAGCATATTTTTCACAACCTTCAACACATTATCGGTGATGATGAGCACCTCGCCAAGATGCAATCAAATGGGCTTTTAAATGGGAATTAACTCAACATATGAATAGAAATAATCAAGAGTTATGGAAGGGAGGTGGATAGGAGGGGGACAAATGTATTTTCACTTTTAGTGAACTGGCACAACACAATGAACCAAACAGTCTCCTTCTGCATTGCAACTATTCCACTCTAAAAAAGAACAAGAGGGCATAGATTTAAAATGATCTGTAAAAGAAGCAACAGTGAAGCATGGAAAAACCTTTTCACTCAGTGAGTAGTTAGGGTATTGAATGCAAGGCCTGGAAGTTTGGTGGAGGAAGGTTCAACTGAAGTATTCAAGAGGGCAGTAGATGATTATTTGGATAAAAATAAAGTGCAAGGTTGTGGAGAAAAAAGCAGGACATTCATACAGGGTAATGATGCTCATTTAATAAGCTGGTGCAAGCATGATGGGCTGAATGGCTTTCTTCTGTGCAATCACACTTCTGTGATTCTGTGTGATCCTATGATCAGGGTAAAGACTGATGTATATAAGGCTGTGGCCTCAAATGCATAGAATGCTGCTCCCTGACAGTTTTTGCTATTCTATATGTTTTTGACATTTACATTTCAATAGTTTTATCACTTCCTCAAATGTATAGTTTTGGTGTATTATCATTCTGTTGTTGAGATTACAATTGACTATCCTAACTATTCTTGCTAAGTTGGCCCAACAGCATGTCCACTATCTGTGCTTTCGATTGACAATGTCTGTTTGTCCATATTCAGTAAAATGCAATGGTTTCTGTTCAAACATTTCTAAGGAGAATAATGTAGGTTGTATACTATATAGTGGATGTTATGGCAGTTGGAGTTTTCAAGATTAAGATTGATGCACTTTTTGTCAGGTAATGCTATCAGGAGATATGGAGCAAAAGCAGGTAAATTGAGCTTAGGTACAAATCCATTCCTGTATAATTGAATGGTTGAGTAGCCTAGAGAGATTGAGTGACCTTTTCTTGTACTTAATGTTCCTATGTGATTCATTTGTATAATGATTACTCATCACATTGTTCAGAAGGAATTTGTGATCCTGCTCTGTCTTTAAGAGATCAAACTTATGGTTGTAAGTTCTTACTGCTGGAGGTAAAAAAGTTTGTTCAGGGTCACGTTGCCTCTGACCCAATCTCCCATAGTAATTTGATGTCTGAAATGGCTCTGTAATACTTCCAGATCTGTTAATGATTGACTAACCAGTTTGGTTTATTTAATTGGAGGTGTAGCTCTTCCGCTTGGCTCCAGCTATTCTGCAAGCATAAGTCTTTTTTAGACAACTGTGGGGAATCCCATCTATTCTGTTGCTGATAAACTACATAATGTTAGATGGAGAAACACTGATAGCATCCTTGTGCTACTTGGGAATTCCAAAGCATTGGTTCTTACCAAATCGTCACCAGCTTAATTGTGAAATGGTAAGTGTACTTTGTCCCTAGGGGGGAAGAGTGTATGTGCAACTCTAATACGCAATATGTGGCTTTCTTAATACCTTGTCTTAAAAACTCTTAAACATAAAGATCGAATTCTACATGTTGGACATTTTGTTATCAAAAACAACTGTAACATTTTGGAGTAAATAGCTCACTTAGATATCACGAGTATAAAGTGTGTGATTATGATAAACTATTTACCTTCCAGTTCTCTTGTTTTATTGGTAGATGTCCCATGTGTAACACAAAATCAAAATGTAACAAAGTAGTATCAGTGGTAAGGGAAAGAAGACGGAAGTTAAGGTGTGGTACAATGTATACCTGTGAAAAAAATGGACAGAATGTATGTTAACTTTTGCTGGTTATTAACAACGCTTGAACATTGATCTGAATCTTCCAATAATTGGTAAGACTGTTGCCTTATTTTAAAATTGTTTTGTCATTTGGTGATTGTGACCATTGAATAAAACATTTATCAAATGATGCCAAAAATGGCATTTTCCATGTGATGAACTAACAAAGCCACTGGACTGAGTTTAATTTTCCACCTATTTTTGTGTCATCATTATTTAAAGACAAACTGAAACAACGGATTGAACCTTACCCGGAATCAGCCAAGTGTTATTTTTGTCGATGGAGGGTTTCTCTCTGCAAGGCTTTACGAATTTTCTCACACAATCATCTGAAGCTTGCCTTCAGGCCCAGAGATAGGGACACTACCACAAAGCTACAATGGTCCTACATGCTAGTTAAATTATTCCACTGAAATGTAGTAGGAGTTTAAGAATGTTTTAGATATTTTCTCTCATTGCACTTTCTTTGGAGAATATTTATACTGCACGTAGTGAACTGAGAATGATTCACTCGTTGCAAGTGGAAGTCAATTTGTATTGAGATTTCACGGTTACAATAATATTGCCACAGTTCTGCATTTTTAAGAACATTCCACTGGGGGAGTTTTGTCACTGCTCTGTCTCTTCATTGAACATTACCAATGCAGTAAAGTTGTGGTGCAATGTGAATTTTGGAATGCAATTGTATGTTTATTGAGAAAGACTAGCAATTACTACTAAGATTTTCCATTTCTAACTGGTACATGCACAATGTATTGATTGAGTATGCGCCCAGGCTGTGCTAAGAAGGGTACCGATAACTGACTCTTATATTTTAGAAACAACAACAAAGTTGCTGGAGAAGCTCAGCAGGTCTGGCAACATCTGTGAAGGAAAAAACAGAGTTAACGTTTTGGGGCCAGTGACCCTTCCTCAGAACATGAGATAACTCACTAGACCTCGCGGAGAGAAAATAACCATGAAATTCCCGAAATTGGCATTTAGCCTAATTATGTAAAATTCAACCCTGGCATACCTACTTTATGAGTTCTGAGGAAGGGTTACCGGACCTGAAATGTTAACTATGTTTTTTCCTTCACAGATGCTGCAAGACCTGCTGAGCTTTTCCAGCAACTTAGTTGTTGTTCCTGATTTACAGCATCTGCAGTTCTTTCAGTTTTTATCTTCCATTTTAGAGCTGATTTACCACATCACTTTGGGAGAGCTCCTACTATTTGCTGTATTACTTGCATAGGCTTACATCATGTTTGCCAATTTTCTAAAACTAACTCATTAATTACCTTGGTGAAGTGAGAAATGAGGTCTCTTTGGTCGATTTTGACTCTAAAGTAAACCGCTTTCCATCTGTTCTCCATTCATTTTACAGCTGTTCAAATGTCAGAAACCTCTCACAATGCTTACGTTTAAAAACTGAACCTATATATCCAAATAATAACATCACACTTTCAGGCAATCTTCTTCTTCAGTTCCCTTCCATAAAGTAGGTATGCCAGGGTTGAATTTTACATAATTAGGCTAAATGCCAATTTCGGGAATTTCATGGTTATTTTCTCTCCGTGAGATCTAGTGAGTTATCTCATGCAAGTCTCTGCTGTTCACCTCATTATAGATATTGTACCCCCATGGCACCACTCTCACACTAACTTGCACACAGCATTGGCAGAAGCACTTGCTGAATATCCCTCACAGGAGGTTGGCCAGCAACACTATTGCACCTAGGATAGGAGCTAGTGTGCTAGCATGGATCAAGCGTTGGCCTAACAGGCAGAAAGAAGAGAGTAGGAACAAATGGGTCATTCTCGTGTGGCTGGCTGTGACTATAGTAGTTCTGTCAGGATCAGCACATGGGCCCCAGCTGTTCACAATAATGATTTGAATACAGGGATCAAATGTAATATTTCGAAATTTGCAAATGGTGGAGAATGCCATTTAGGACTGAGGTTAGGTGAATTTGTTTTACCTGGAGTATTATGAATCTTTGGAATTCTCTACGAGATGGGTGTAGAAGCTTAGACTTTGAATGTGTTTAAAGTAGAGATTGAAAGATTTCTGACTACCAATCATGTACAGGATTATGGGGATGGACATGGTAAAAAGCATTGCAATGTTTGACAACCATAATTGTATTAAATAGTGGAGTAGTTGTAATGGGCTGAATGGCCTACTCCTGTTCCTATGTTCCAATGCCAGGACATGATGGGATTTCCAGCTCTACCACCATAGTTAAAGCATCTGATGCATCAGGTCAACTGTCATCAGCCATGAATAACTATTCACAGCACATGTAGTATGAAGGAAGCAAAAAAGGACAGTTTCTGAGGGCACATCAGTGACAAGGGTGACACTCTAATGGAATAAGATGCTCATATTTTAAAGATATTGTCATTTTAAATCATTTCCTGTCTGAATGACTGTCATAGTATCAACAGCTATAAGAATTGCACTACAAAGGCAACTTGTCTGTGTGTCATATCATGTTTGAGCCCCGAGTAAGGGAGTACTATTTTTGCCCTAATGCCCAATGTAGCACAGCAATGTCATTGTCATTGCTAGATTGGCAGCGGTCCACCCCTGACGAACTTGGAAGATTAGGCTAGACTGATGAGTGACCAAACCCCTGATTGTGTATCTCCTGATTGACTTACTAGTAATCCCCTTGTTGTACCGGACCTGCAGGACTGAGGGTAGCCTATTCCCTTGATTGTAATGTTATGGAACCCTTGACCCTGACAGCCCTAAAAGCCCGACTGACTGTGTCCAAGCCCCTGGACTGATAATGGATGAAGCCTTTGGTTTACTATGCTGGTAACCTATAGTGACTGAAGAAAATTTTCCCTTTATTTGACTGAGGACTACTCCCCTTAGATTTTCAGACATCGCCATTTCGATGAAATGCATCCATTGTATTTGCTGCGTATATATCTGGCTGCAGGTGTGACATTAACATAGCACGGTGCCATAAAGCAACATGCCTACTTCCTTGACTGATCATTGCTGCCAGACATGACAAACTGCCAGGCTTTGTATCCGCAGTAAGAGGTAAGGCAAAACATAGGTATACTGACCCTGTAAGCTCTGAATAATGCGGAAATACTGAAAAAGGCAAAGCAATACAAGGCAGGGATCCTATGGACATCAAAGTAGGTGCACAGTGAGTGAGCATTAGGAGAGCAAGTAAGGAGCCCTGAGATGCATAGTGGTCAAATCCATGATATGGGTGCCTGTCCCTGTGTACAAAGCAGCCTTCTACCATCATTACAATGCAAGGTGTTGATGCGCTCCAAACTGCAGCATTGAAGTGGACTACTATATCCTAAGTGATGTGGACAAATGCCATGATGCTGTGGGGAGGCTGGTGCGTGTCCAATACGAACCTCCATGGAAGGGGACTATTACAGACAGTGCTACCCATGAAGCATGCCCTGAGGTTTTGAGAGGATTGTCACCAACATAGAGGCTTGGAGGCACAGGTGGCGAGCTGGAGACACTAGGTACCCACTGTGACTTTCATGTTGAGAGTTGTCACTGTCTAGTTTCTCTCCACAGTGTTAGAGAATTGTAAACTGCAGATAAATGAAGTGAAAATGGATAATAATAATAGATGCTAATGCATGCAAGTACAAGATCTGCCAGTGGTGGAGGCTGGTACAATTACAGCATTTAAAAGGCATCTGGATGGCTACATGAATAGGAAGGGTTTAGAGGAATAAGGGCTAAATGCTGGCAAATGTGACTAGATTAATTTAGGATATCTGGTTGGCATGGATAAGTTGGATCAAAAGATCTGTTTCCGTGCTGTACAACTCTTTGACTCTATCTGATTAGCAAGGTTCTTGTCTTGTCATTCCTGCTGAAATTAAATATGGGTCTGTTCAGTTATCAGACCCTCCTGGTGCCTCAAATGCATTTAAATATATGCCTTTGGTTTGTTTGGATAGAGGCAAACTCCAATATTTGTTTGTTTCCTTGATATACTACTGTACAGAACCAAACTGCGTTTTTGATTATGTTTATATACAAAGATATTTTTTATGAATAAAGTATATTTTGAAACAAAAGAAAGAAAATCAGAATGACTATTCCTCAGTGTCAGGAATCTAATTTTTCAGATCTCACTACATTTTCCCAACTGGCTCACCATTGCCCACTTTGTTCAGGGTCTGGGAAAATTCAGCCCTCAATCTCCAGCACAAGGACACAGAGATAGGTCCCAAATTCACCCCAACCAGAACACAATGTTCTTGACATCAATGCAGTCCACATTGGTTGTCAAGCCAAGTGATCACCCAAAAAGTCTGAGTTGCATTGGCAACATGTACTTTTACATGCCACAGTCTGGAGTTAAGGATTGTGATGATAAAGACTTCACATCACTGACCAGAAACTTCTCCCAATCTTACTGCTTTCCATTGGTGTATCTTAGAAGGATTTACAAATTGATACTCAACCAGCTTAGCCATAATATCAACACACCTCCCTTTCCCATCAAAGGTAGGAATGGGACTTGAATCTGGAACTTCTGGCTTAGAGGCAGGGTCAATCCCCATTGCCTCATGAAACCTCTTTCCAAAGCAGATTTGAGATGAAATTTATGAATCATTGTGTCAAAAATATAAGTGAATGACTCCTGCTGAAGAAATGATTCTTGAACATTGTTAATATCATCCGTGAAAAGTATGTAATTAAGTTAACATAAGTTTAATGGTATATTTAAATACCTTAGCACAAGCTTTAACTTCAGAGGTAAGGAAAGCAAAATCTTTGAATATTTTGAAAGTGGAGACAGATTTGTTTTATTAGATAGTATTATGAAACGCTGTATAATTCCTTACCAAATTAATTTGAGATGCTGCATTAAAACTCTTCACCCAGAGACAGGTTAAAATAAGGAATTTGTTATCAAATGGAACAGTTGAGAATAGTGTAAATATATGTCAAGGGATGCTAGATAAATACGTGAGAAAGAAAGAAACAGAAGGCTACACTGATAGGATGAAGGATGGTGGGACGAGGCTCATGTGAAACAAAAACACTAGAATACATTGATTAAACTGAATAACCTTGTTTTGTGCTGTAAATTCCATGCAATTTTCAATTAAAAAGTAAATGACTTCCAAAGCATTTAGGGAGCTTAATTTTATAATACACTTACCAAAGTATATCCTGGGGCGAAGATAAATCGATAGCACAGCCTTCCAAGCCATCTTTAAATTTAATGACTTTTGCGTGTGTCCAGGCAGGAAAGGCCAATAGAATTGAAATTGCCCAAAGGCAGAGGTTGATTTTAATAGTTTTCGACGTGGTTCTGAAACTTGTCAGACAGAATGGATGAACAAGAGCTAGGTACCTATGGACCAAAGATTCAAATAGAGTTTCAAAAACCATCAAGACTTTTTATTTTACACAACAATGATTAATTTCTCAGAGCATTGAATCATAGAATTCCCACAGTGTGGAAACAGGCCATTCGGCCCAACAAGTCCACACCGACCCTCCGAAGAGAATCCCACCCAGACCCTACCCTATCCTATCCTTGTAACCCTGCATTTCCCGTGGATAATGCATTTAACCTACACATCCCTGAACAGAACGGGCAATTTTGCATGGCCAATCCACCTCACTTGCAAATCTTATCACTGCGGGAGGAAACTGGGGCACCCAGCAGAAATCCATGCAGACACGGGGAGAACCTGCAAACTCCACACAGACAGTTGCCCAAGGTTGGAATCGAACCCAGGTCCCTGGTGCTGTGAGGCGGCAGTGCTAACCACTGAGCCACCATGCTGCTTGGAAATTACATAAAGGCTATGCAAAAAAAATGTTTTACAGATTTCTCACCATGTCTATTGGGCCTGCATTTTTGCTAAATGCTGCTCCAGGAGTTAAACCAGGAATAAGATAAAACTGGGAAAGTCAGTAGGCTGAAACAGCACCACTGCAGGAGTCTCAGACTTTGCAGCAGGCTGAATGAGGAGTTCTGTAGAAGGACTTGAAATGTTAATTCTGCTTTCTCTCTACAGATGCCACCAGACCTCTTGAGTTTCTCCAGCAATTTCTGTGTTTGGTCTAAAAGTCTATGTTGCATGCTCAATCCCAGGGTACAGGACATCTGCTCAGGGGTGGAGAGGAACTTGCAGTGGGATGGGAAGGATGCAGTTGTCATAGACTGCGGGTTATAATAACACAGGCAGAACAAGTGTCTCCACACAGTTAGATATCAAATTAAGAAGCAGAACTTCAAAGATGAGGATTTCTGAACTACTTGCAAACTCATATATGGCAAACAAGATTAGAGAGATGAAAGTTTGGGTCAAACACTGGTGTGGTGGAATTGGTTTCTGGTTCCTGGGGCACCAGCACTAGTACTGGGATTATAATGGGACCTGTACCACTGAAATGGTCTCTATCTGATGGATCCGGTGTTTCAGTGAGCAGCATACCGAAAGAAACAGAGAGGGTTTTAATTTAAATCGTGGGCAAAGGTCAAATTTGGGATATTGTGCAATATCAGAGAACAGAGACAAGGCATGAGAGAAAGGCACTAATATAAGAAGAGATAAACAGGCGGTGACAGGAATGAATAGAGAGTACACATCTAACAATGAATCAAAGATAAAGTCAAAGATCAAATGAAGGAGAAAACTAAATGTTTTGTATGTGAATGCATGCAACATTTAAAAGAAAACAGATGAAATAACAGCACAAATAGAAATAAATAGGTAGCCATTGTAAAGATATGGCTGAAGGACAACAGAGGTTTGGACTTACATATTGAAGGGTACATAAAAGAATATGAAATTGCAGCAGAAATAGGCCATTCATCCCTTTGAGTCTGCTCTGCCATACTATGTGATCATGGCCGATCTGTAATCCTCAATTCTACTTTCTTTCCTTCTCCCTATAACTCTTGATTTCCTTGCTAATTACAAATCTGTCCGCCTCAACTTGAATACACTTAACAACCCAATCTCGACAGCCCTCTGTGGTAAAGAATTCCTCAGATTTACTAACCTCTGAGAGAGGAAATCCCTCCCTCTCTCTTAAATGTGTGAACCTGAATTCTGAGATTATGCCCTCTGGCTCTCCCAACCACTTTGTGTCATCTGTAAAGGTGACTATAACATCCAAGTCATTTGTATATCTTCGACATTTAGGAAGGACAGCGAGGAAAAGGCAGAGAGGTTGCTCAGTTATTGAATTGATTTATTATGGTCCATCAAAACACTCAAGTTAAGGGCAATTAGAATGGGAAACAAATGCTAGACTTGTCAGCAACACCCAAATCCCAAATAGAAAATAAGAATTAGTACAACAGAGAAGGATGATCTAAGTTCAGGAAACCAGGATGTTGAAGTGGTTTGGGTAGAGATCAGAAATGATAATGACAAGAAGACACTTGCAACACAGACTCCATGTGTGTAATCACATAGTAGGGTGGAGTATAACGAAGAAATATTACAGCTTGTCAGAAAGAAATGACAAAGTCATGGGGGATTTTAATCTGCGTATAGACTGGAAAAATGAGATGGGCAAAAATAGCCCAAATGAGGTGTTCATAGAAAGTTTTGGGATAATGTCTTTAGAACACCACATTCTGGAGTCAAAAGGAGAGCAGGCTATACTGAACTTGATATTGTGCAATGAGATAGGACTAATTAACAACCTCATAGTGAAGGCATCTCTAGGTAGTAGTAATCACGATTTAATTGAATTTTACGTTCACTTTAAAGCAGTGAAGAGTGTGTCATGTTAAACTTATAATTACAAAGACAATTAAAAGGGCACAAAAGCAGAGCCAGCTAAGGTTAAGTGAACTGGCAAATTAGGTTAAGGGATAGGTCAACAGTGATGCAGTTGCAACCATTTAAGGAATGATTTCAAAATACGCAAATAGACATCTCACCTCAGGCATTTATCCAGTTCAGTTTTGAATCTATTATTGACATCTGTCAAGCAATGCACTTCAAATCATAACAACCCGCCTTTGCAAAACGTTTCCTCATTTCTTTTTAGCTTTATACCTAACTAGTAAAAGGGCGGATGGTGGTGTTGTGGGAATGCCACTCGACTAGTAACCCATACTAACCGTGTGAGGACATGGGCTCACATCTGACCATGCTAACAGGTATAATTTGAATTCAATTAATAAAATCTGGGATTGAAAGTTAGTCAGTAACGGGGATCATGAAATTATCATCACTGTCATAAAAAATCCCATTTAGTTTACTGATTCCTTTTGGTGAAAGTAACCTTTTGTTCTTATCTGGTCTGGCTTATCTGTAATATCAAACACTCAAAAATGTGGACCCTCTGAAATGGTCTAGCGAGGCACTCAGTTCAAGGCATTTAGGGACGGGCAATGATTGCTGGCCTGGCCAGTGACATCCACATCCGATGAAAAAAATAAAGAAAACCAAAGAATTCACTTCAGATAAGCTGCAGAAATTCCCATTATTATTTTCAAGCCAGGTCTGATGCATTCATTGAGTTCATCTGTAAGCATTGTCAATCACCACTGCTAACAGATGAGGATGATTTTATACATATTAATCTTTTAAATTATGCACTCATTACAAAAATCATTTTTAACTAGATTTACGTAGCATCCCTTCACAACTTTAGGATGTTCAGTCATGCTTTAGAGTCAAATACTTTTGAAATGCAGAAATATAGGGGGAAGTGGCAATCAATCCACATACAGCAAGGTCCCACAGCTGACAATGTAATAATGTTAGACAATTTGTAAGACTGACGTACAGATACTGGCCATAACACCAACTGTCTTTGAAACAGGGTCAAAGGATCATTTATGTTCATCTGAGAGGACAGACAGGGACACAGTCTAGTGTCTCATTTGAGAGACAGCATCTCCAACAGTGTTTTTTTTAAGAGTACAAAACAAACAAATGCTTAAGAGTTTCACCAAAATTTCTGGAAACGTAGCTGATAGGTTATAACTAAAAGAGAAAAATAGATTAACACCATACTGCACTTTGTGTGAATTTCTGATCTATACTTTCTGATGGCACATTTCTCTAAGGAAGTACAAGTCTGGAGATGCCTTCTTTCATCTAATAACATACTTGAAATTTGCCTTTGTACTTGAAATGTTAATTGTTCTACTGCATACAATAATGTTTTTTGCTTTCCACTAATTATCAAAATTAAAGATTTAGATTCCCCTTCAAACTATTAAGTTAAATTTATACATAATTCAATATATTAACTGGTAATTATAACATGACAGCAGTCATTTTGACACAATATTGCTGATACGTATATACTTAAAAAATATAGAAAATTAACAAGGCAGAACAGTTTGATCCCTTATTAATATTTTCATTGAACCGCTCATTCTAGATCAATACCATTAAGCCGTCTTCTCAAGAAACTGACATATAATTTGATCTAGTGAAACGTAAATCAATAGTTCATGCTCTGAATATATTATTGTAACAATCTAACAGACAACGAATAAACCGTCTTTGTGTGTTGAACAGTAGTGTCGGCATTGATATCTGTTGTCTTTGACGTAAATGGATTTCAGATTAATAATAACTTTTTATGTAAGCGTACATAAATTCTGGGCCTTAGGTCTGCACAGCGTAGTACATCTGGTGTCAAAAGGGCGTGCACTGAGTCTGCTCAATTATTGACAGCGACTTTCTTATCATTGTGCGCGCACGCACACACATACGCACCGGCCTCAGTTAAGAATATAGTCAGATGATAACAACAACATCAGGACTGAGTGTGCTTAGGGAAAGGTAGATGCTGTGAGTTTTGAGGTGACTGTTCTGTCAGTTACTCAGGAGAGTAGATTATCATTCCCACATGATGGGAAACTATTGACATTCTGGTGCTAACTATTTACATCCACAGGTTGGTAGGGTTGAAATAACCCTTGGAATTTTATGAATACTTATTTCCAGTGCATAAATTTGTGTACTGAGAAAGCAAACCAGGAGGTCTGGTGTGTAGGTCAGCAGGCTGTGCAGGATTTTCTGCCACTTAATTTTAATTTTAAAGGACAGAATATCCTGTGAGATATTCACTTCCGTTGGCTGAATTCTTGACAGATATATAATGGTCAGTACCGAGAGTTCAAAACTGGAAAATTTATCAGTATTTAAGTAGTTCAGCTAGAAGAAGAGAGTAAATGAAAAAAAAAACAACTTGTGTGCATTTATGAGCAGTTAGGCATTTGTCAATAACCTGTTGTGAAACTTCATGCTATGCTAGTGGCAGAATCCACAATAACATTGCGTGAAATGTTTACAGATAACGGAAACTAAAATGGAACTATCCACACTGAAATAGAAATAAAAACTACCCTCCTCCACTCGCCATTGAATTCTATTCCTCTTTTCACCACCTCTCTCACTACTTCCAAGAAGAGTAAACTTCCTCTGCATATTCAGTTCTTCTTGGAACTGCCTGTTGTTCCAGCACTGACCACTACAGTGTTCTGGCATTGTTGAGACGAAAGAGTGGCCAGTCAATCAGATTGGTCAGCAGCTCTTGCGGTCAGGGCTTCCTGTGCCTGAGAAGTGGAAGTCACAATCTAACTTTATTAAAGCTGACCCTAGGATTGTGTTATTAATGAACAGCTAGATTTAAAGTTTGCAAGGTGCTGACTGGCTCTTGACAGTGTGAGGTTTGAGGAATACATTGTCCTTTACCCTTGATAAATGTCTAATGATCTGTTATAGCACAAAATGATGGGGATATATAAGGCTCAGTGGGACATTTGCCAATTAATAACTACCCTTCAGTGCTTGAGATTCTTATTTTACTTTTGATGAATGAATGTGTTAATACACATTTATTTAATATGTTTAAATCAGACTTATTTAACTGCCTTGGAAAGCCTGCACCAACAATTCTTTCTTATCTTTGTACAACTTGACAGCAGAAGAATGCAACTGTTTACCAAATAGTAACAATAGAATTCTGTGTTATTTAGTACAATTCTAAAAGCTTATGAGTCAAAATAACACCTCGCTTCAACTAAAATATAAGCATTGATGTTTATTAATTCTGTATGCTTCTAGTACAAATCCGAATACCAGGAGCTTCCTTAATCTTTCAGTTTTGTTTCTTTGTACCTGTTAACAGTAATAAGGATGAGAATATTTTCAACCAATCCTGTTGAACAGATAACACCGATGAAAGAAGGAAGGAGCATTGATTCTACCATATCAAGCATGTGATAATGTACAGCGGTGAAGGATTTGTTTGTCCAATCAGATTCATTTTGCCAGGTCCAACAGGGTGTCTGAGATCCATTCATTGTCTATATGGTTTCGGTTCTTGTTTCTGCAATGAGAACAAAAATAGCACCAGTATTTGAGCTACTTAAGACTAGGCTCTGTAGTTAGAAAGGATCATAGAATCATAGAATCCCTGTAGTGTGGAAGTAGGCCACATCGTGTCCACGCCATCCCTCTGAAGAACACCCCAACCAGATGCATCGCCCTATTCTATCCCTGAACCTTGCTTTTCCCATGGCTAAACCACCTAACCTGCACATCCCTGGACACTATCAGAGGGTTTGCAACATATAAAGGTCACACCAATGCTGATGTTATGGCTGGATATTATTTGTATTTCATGCTCACCCAACAGCTTCTTCTTATTGACTCTCAGTCCATTGGGGCATCATATTTGAAACTATTATCTCTATAATTATACTCTTCCATGGCTTTACTCTCTTTTTCTCTAGCCTCCATCATTGTTATATCATCCACCTCTTCTCCCACAACATGCCCCAAGCCTCAAATTCATCATTTTCTTTTACTCCACCTCCTGTGCCTTGTTTGCTTTCCTTGCTTCACTATTAACCTTCAACCTTTTTTTGAGGCTACACTTTGTAAGTCCCTCTCCATACCTTCCATCTCCTTACCTGCTTCTACACTTCTAAGGTGATCTTTAAACCCATATCATTGACCAGGCTTTTGCTCACAAAAGCTAAACATTTTTCTCTCTTTTGTTTGAATAGGTAAATTACAGCTCTATATTTCTGTTAATTACATAAGTAAACAACATTAAAATATATAAAACAAAGAACAGAGGTTGCTGAAGATCTGAATCAAAAACAGAAATTGCTCGAGAAACTCAGCAGGTGAAGTCACATGGGATCTGCTGAGCTGCTAGGATGGATACAGAACCAGCTTAGTCATGGAAGACAGAGAGTAGCGGTGGAACGGTGTTTTTCTGACTGGAGATCTGTGACCAATGCTCTTCCATAGGGATCAGTGCTAGGACTTCTGTTGTTTGTAATCTATATAAGTAATTTAGAGGAGAATGTAAGTTTGTGGACAACACAAAGACTGAGGGAGCTGTGGCTAGGAAGGAAGATTGCCAGAGGATGCAACAGGATACACATAAACTGGAGACTTGGACAAAGAAATGGCAGATAGAGTTTAATCTGAACAAATGTGAAGTGACGTATTTTGGAACTTATAATGCAGGAGGGGAGTATACAGTAAATGACAAAACCTTTGGTAGCATCAACATACTGAGGGATCTCGGCATACAGGTCCACAGTTCCATGAAAGTAGCAACACAAGTGGATAAGGTGGTCACAAAGACATATGGCATGATTGCCTTCATCGGCTGGGGCAGAGAAAATAAAAATTGGCAAGTCATGTTGCAGCTACGTAGAACTTTCAATAGGCTACATTTGGAATATGGTGTACAGTTCAGGTCACCACACTACGAAAAGAATATGGAGTTTTTGGAGAGGGTCCAGAAATTGTTTACCAGGATGTTTCCTGGTTTGGAGGGTATAAGCTAGAGAGGAGAGATTGGACAAACTTGGTTTGTTTTCACTTGAACATCATAGGATGAGGGGAAACCTGATAGAGGTTTACAATATTATGAGATATGGATAAAATGGACAGTTGGAGTCTTTATTCCAGGGTTGAAATGTCAGTTACTGGGGACATAGATTTAAGGTAAGAGGTAAGTTTAAAGGAGATACCAGAGGGACGTTTTTTACGTAATAGGTTGTAAGTGCCTGGAATGCACATCCAGAAGGTGTAATGGAGGCAGATATAAAGCAATGTTTAAGAGGTGACTTGATAGATATATGAATAGGCTGGGAATAGATGGATAAAGACTGTGTCGAGGCAAAAGGTTTTCATTTAGAAATGCATCATGTGTTGGTGCTGTCATGGTAGGCCGAAGGGCCAATTCCTGTGCTGTACTGTTCTTCACTCTTTGTTTACAAATATGGTGTAAAGCTTAAGATTTGAGGATTCTGGTTCTTGCTACAGTTCTTTAAAGACTAAAGTGAATTTACTTTTATTTCAGATGTTGCTAATTGGAATTTAGAGACAAATCTGTTAGGTGATTTAAATTCTAAATATGAAAAAAGTAACTGAGAGGTTTGGAGACACTAGACAATTTATCCAACACCCTGTAATTAAGCAACAGGGCAGAGGGAATTATCATGATGTATAGGTTCAAATTACTGAGTAAGAATAGCAGTGTTACTTTGAAGCTTATACACATTTTCACATCTGTGCGTAAAGATCTAGTCATTTTTAAATTCTAATCTTTCATATCAAAGCTACAGAAGAAGCAATTTAAATGTAGTCTATTCTCAGGGAATGCAAAAGCCCAGGCAGCCCTCAGAACCACAGATTGCTGAAATGAAACCATTACTGTGTGTGGTAAAACAATGTGCACTTTAAACAAACTGATTGCCCTTTGAACAAATTGTCCAGTCCCAGATAATAATTTTAAAAGTTAGGTTAAGACAGGGCACAGAATGTATAGCACTAGCAAAACCCTTGAGAAAGAAAGAAAATGAATCACCACATACATGGATAGTGGATGTGTGTTTGGAGTAGTGCACGATTACATGATTGCCTGGAGCAGGTGAGGATACATGTTAGCTCAAGGGGTGGTCATACATTACAAGCAGAGATAATTTGGAACTTCATAGCAGCAGTAGCAAAACATTGAGTAGTCAAAGCTAAGTTCACCAATCGTTAACCCAGTTACAACTGTACAGGGGAATCAAGGATAGGCCCTCCTTACAAAACCAGGCTGAACATTTTGCTGGCGAAGTCCTTATAAAGTCCTGTTAGCCAGTGATATTTGCACGTGAGGAGATGTAAAGGAAATTTCGGTTGAAACACTTGACACAGATCGAGGAGTATGGAAACGCAATGAAAAATAAGGATTAATTGGTGGTGACCAGTATTTGCAATGTTCTCTTTACAGGACCATGAAAACTGCAGTACTGCTGATATGCCTGGCAAGTATAATTGCGAAAGGAATCAAGTCAGCTTTTGTTTGTGAACCCAACAGGCATGCCCAATAAGAACACAAGCGACGTCTCTTGCGATCAAGACTGTTCAATTTATTTGTCATCAACTTGCCTAACCAAAGTGAATGTTGACTGCAGTGTCACATTTTGGGTAATCAGTTCAGTTGTTTGTAGCCTGAATGAGAAAAGCTGGTAAACTCAAGTAAAAGTACATGAGGGAATGGGCTGGCTATATTTTTTAAAATCTGGAATCCCTATGGTATGAAACAAGCCCTTTGGCCCAACAAGTCCACACCGATCCATAGAGCATCCCACCCAGAACCATTCCCCTATAACCCACCTAATCTACACATCCCTGAACGCTATAGGCAATTTAGCATGGCCAATCCACCTAGCC